AATCCACTACAACTATCCGGCAACGATAATTAACCGATTACGTAAAAATAACCATCTACCTACATGACGTATATCTCTAGAAAACTCCCGCTTGCGCAACCTAGGGCGCGGCTTTTCAAATCTACCCACTAACCAAAAAAAGGCAAGCAACAAAGAACAAAGGGAAATAATTCTATTATTACGTACAAAAAAATATTTTTACGTATTACGGACGGGCGTGATTGTAGACACAAATTAAACCAATCAAACCAACGCTCCCTGCCACCAGAATTGTTTAATGTTTATCAAACACTATGGTCGGGATCGACCGGGGAATCGAACCCGGAACCGCTCTCTGCTACCAGTTTGTTACGGCCTACGGTTGCTCTCTTAAAGGATCCAATCCTCTGGGGCCCATGAGCAGAAGACTCTCGAGCAAACGTAGGTCGGGCCTCAATGTGGCCACGTGGAATCTCTCTAATTACACTAAAATATATGAGGGAGCGTTATACTACGGCCAGTCGACCGGAAGAGGAATTAGGCGGAGTTCACTTACCTATATCCAAGGCGACTGGTCCCTCCGGAGTCGGTCAGGTCACATGTGGTTGTGTAGTGAAAGGGAAATAAGTGATGTGATGTGTATCTGGGTGTGACTGATGGTGATTGAGCCTAGACCTTGGCCGTCGGCAGCAGCCCGAGCGTCGACACCGCTCCAACTTGAGGGGGCCTTTCGAGGTTATCCACAGTCACTTTCTTCTTTCGTCACGTTGACAGTCAATTAACTCTATCGTACGATTCACTAACTTACAGAAGCCACTAACTATCGCTGGTTATAAGGTTAACACACAAAACGCACACGGAGTTTACAGTTTATTAAAGGTCACTACCGTTTCGCGTCGCAACAGTTAATTCTAGAATATTAGAGGCCGCACTAGCTAATATTGCCTAATGCACTTATGCAGATTCTGAGTCAAACACAATGAGTCCCGGGAAGCTCTCCAGTAGGAATGCGCGTCACAAATCCTAGACCGTATATTTACGGGCCGCACCTAATTATTCCGAGTTCCCTAACAGAATGGACCGCGTGCTCACGTCAGCACCGATTAAAGACGACTGCCCTTGGGCGTTTTACGTACGACCGAATGTCAAACCGGTATGACACTGAGCCGCACGCCCTCTCGCGTTCGTTCTTTGAAAGTGTTTGGCGCGAACAACGGTTTTCAGTGCCTAGAAGATTGCAATGCAGTGGACGATATAAATGACAATCTCGTGGAAACTGTCCATGCGGTCGGAGCTAAGTTTTGCAAAACTCTCCGATCACACTCATAATCTCATGGCTGTTAGACGGGATATGAAGCTACAGTCTTCAGTAGATGTGACAGCATACAGGCAACTGAACAGACAGATCTCCAAATGCATGCGGCGGGACTTACGCAAGTTTAATACTGTACGTATTGAAGAAGCGATCGAGCGGAACCAGGGCTCCAAAGTCTTTGCTAGAGATCTGTCTGCCAGAAAGAGCCAACTGTCGAAGCTGAAGACCGAGCGTGGCAGCGTCATTTCTATGACGCTGCCACGCTCGGTCTTCAGGTGTCCCAGAAGGGACACCTGAGATTTTGAGTGAGATTGAGAGGTTCTATGGGCAGCTGTATACATCATCGTTGGAGCCAAACGCAAGTGTGTGTAACGATCCAAGAGCGTGTCTTATCCGACAATATTCCGAAGATATCCCGGACGTCAGTCTGAGCGAGATTAGAATGGCTCTCCAGCACCTTAAAACGGCAAGGCCCCAGGCAAGGATGGAATTACAGCGGAGCTTCTGAAAGCGGGTGGAAAACCGGTACTTGAAGTCCTTCAGAAGCTCTTTAATTCCGTCCTCCATGGTTGCATTACACCAGAGGCATGGAGCAGAAGTGCGTTGGTCTTGTTCTTCAAGAAAGGCGACAAAGCTCTCTTGAAGAACTACAGACCGATTTCCCTTCTGAGCCGCGTCTACGTGCTGTTTTCGAGAGTCATTACAAATCGTCTCGCGCGCAGACTTGACGACTTCCAGCCTCCCGAACAAGCCGGTTTCCGAAAAGGCTTTAGCACCATAAACCACATACATACCCTTCGGCAAATTGTACAGAAGTCCGAGGAGTACAATTTGCCACTATGTCTGGCGTAAGTGGACTATGAGAAAGCCTTTGATTCCGTCGAAATATGGGCGGTGCTGCAGTCCCTTCAGCGGTGCCATGTTGACTGTCGGTATATCGAGGTGTTGAAGTGCTTGTACAGTAGGGCTACGATGGGTATCCGAGTACAGAACCAGAGTACGAAACCTATCCAATTGCAGAGAGGTGTAAGACAGGGTGACGTCATATCCCCGAAACTCTTCACCGCTGCATTGAAAAACGTAATCAAGCTTCTGGACTGAAAAGGACAACAATCAACGGCGAGTACTGCACTCACCTTCGGTATGCCGATGATATAGTCCTTATGGCAGAATCGCTGGAGGACCTAAGCACGATGCTCAATGACCTCAATAGTGTTTCCCAACGGATAGGTCTTAAGATGAACATGGACAAAACAAAGATCATGTTTAATGTCCATGTCACACCTATACTGGTAGTTGTTGGGAGCACTAAGCTCGAAGTTGTTGACGAGTATATTTACCTGGGGCAAATAGTCCGACTAGGTAAGTCCAAATTCGACCGAGAGGTCAATCGACGGATTCAACTCGGTTGGGTAGAGTTCGGGAAATTACGGCACATCTTTTCGTCAGGTATACCTCAAAACTTGAAAACGAGACTGTACAACCAGTGCGTATTGCCAGTGATGACATATGGAACTGAGACGTGGTCCTTCACTGCTAGCCGGATAAGGAAGCTCAAGGTCACTCAGCAAGCTATGGAGAGGGCTATGCTCGGAGTTTCTCTGCGTGATAGACTTAGAAATGAGGATATCCGCAGTAGAACCAGAGTGACCGCCATAGCCCAACGGATTAGTAAGCTGAAGTGGCAGTGGGCCAGCCACAAGCTCGAAGAACCGACAACCGATGGGGAAAGAAGGTTCTCGAGTGGCAGCCTCTTACCGGCAGGCGAAGTGTAGGGCTTCCCTCACTAGATGGAGTGACGACCTGGTAAGATATGCAGGAAGTCGATGGATGCAGGTGGCTCAGGACCGTGCTTTGTGGCATTCCTTGGGAGAGGCCTAGGTTCAGCAGTGGACTTGTGAAGGGTTGTAATGATGATTATGATGATGATGTATAGTCGGTGCACTAGTTAATGTGCTTGTGGTATGGTGGGTTTTGGTTTTATATCAAGTATGTCCATTGGTAATGGTAAATATTTAAAAATAGTTATATACGTGGTAGAGCTATGCCGCAGCTAAATTGTACTTGTAGCACGCATGGGTCGACTTGAAAGGGGTACGACCACGCTCTCACTGAATACCAGCGAGAAATAGCAGTTCAAAAACTGAAATCCCTTTTTACTGGAAACGAAGTACTCCATCTTAGTCCCTTGGGGTGACAACGAATCTGCATTTCGACTCTCAATTGAAGACAAATGTAGATGTCTATGGGCCACAGCATCTACTTACCATCAGGCGGACTGTGTACCCGTTTGTCACTCTCATTCATTTAAAAATATATAAAATAAAGAAACAATTGCTGTTACCAAACAGCCTGCTATGCATGGACATTATGGCCAAACCCTCCCCTATTATGCTATTATATACTGCTATATATATATGCTATATTATATATGCTATTATATACTGATATTCTGTGCGAGCGTGATCCTTCCCCGGTCGAGTCGATCCATTCGAGCTACAACTATACTAGTAATGTCCCCCCCATGACCATGGGTGCTGTAAAGTGCTTGAAACATCGAGAATATAAAATAAGTTAATATACGCGATAAAATCCGTGAAATTAGTTTTAATTTTACCTTTCCTATTCGCAATTCATTGTAAACAACAGTTCTTTGCACAAAACGGTTTTCTATGAAAAATCGCTTTCAGCGCGATAAGACCGCCTATTGTACCTTGTATATTAACTTATTCCATTTTGTTTCCATTTTAACGTACAATAAAGAATATATTGACTAAAAGAAAAGTCATTACAATGTGTACCTACCTGCCTATTCGTTGACCGCAATTTGAAACTTATTTTAATCTGCTAGCATTTATAAATGGATTCCTTCAATAATACAAATTGATATCGCTGCGTGATCGTTAAACGAATACACAAGTGCATAAACAATAAGCAGTTTCGATTAAGCTGCCAATTTCGGATGAATTTATAGATAACGGATGACAGAGACAGACAGGAGATGCGTCTGCTATCACTCAGGCTTGTCGAACGTTGCAACGCTTGAAGTTTCTTATCATGTTATGTATTTTATTTTGTCTATGTCAATTACTAACCGTGTAGTGGTGGGTGTAAGAATATCTACCTCCATGTGGCAGGGTGAAACAAAACAGGAGATGGGTAGCAGAATATTCCATATAACAACTCAAAATAATGAAAAAGCTGCGTCTGCCATCATTTTGCATATCATCCCGTGGGTGTGGTAAGAGGCGACAGAGGGAAACAAATCAGAAGATGGGCAGCAGCGTGGTCCTAATAACGACTTAAAATAAAAAACTGCGGTTACATACCTACTTTCCAAGCATGACAACTATGGCAAATATCCCCCCTATGAGGCAATCTATGGGGGAGGCCTATGTTTAGCAGTGGATTTTAATAGTTTGTAATGGATATATGGATGGATGTTTATTACGCGGTAGAGCCATACCGCAGCTATTTATTTTAAATAGTTGTAGCATAAATGGGTTGATTTGACCGGGGAAAGACTATGCTCGCACAGTATGAAGTAGGAGCATTAATTCGTTAGGTGAGTGACGACTACCGGATACCCTTTTCAGTAATAAAAAAAATCAACTTAGCCCTCAAGAACGATATCATAACTGCATTTTAATTCTTAATAGAGGAAATATGTAGGTATCCGTACATTAGCCACTTACCAAGAGGTGAACTGTATGCTCGTTTGTTACTTTTATTTAAAAAAAAGAACAATTTATTTTTGGTTATCTTGTATTTTTATTAATAGGCTCTTGTTTCGATAACTAGTCCGATAAATTCTATCGACAATGTATATTCTTCATCTGAATAGCCATCCGCAGCAAAATCATTAAGGCATACACATATTACAGTCTGCAGGGTGGAAAATACCAGGGTAATTACAGGCTGGCTGTGAGGCATTCCAGTTCAGTCTGCCAGTAGCATGATGACACTGTAGCCAGTTCTTAGTCCTCGGAGGTGCCATCTGCAGCTTCGTGTGTTGAATTTCGTTGCAGTCACTGTTAGGCAGTAGCACTTTTTGAGTATTTCTTGATAGAGTCTACCGTCTTACCTATCTCTATAAACAGTATAGGTATAAAGAAGCAGAATTACAGACTGTGAGGAAGGATATCCTCCTCGGAGGTAACAACTCATCTGTAGCCTTCTTAATCTGAAGTTGCAGGTGTACATAGGCTGTACTTACTATCAGGTGGACTGGAAGTTCATTTGTCACTTCTATTTTATCAAAAATAAAATAAAAATCAAACCACGTCCAACTCAAAATATCTCGTTAATCCGCGGCCTATGCCAATGGAAATTAACACAATTTCGGGATTTTTAGTTCGGGAATTTATGTTGTGTTGCGAACACTTATCACGGCGTGACCCAGAAACTGGCCGGCCGTGTCCATGTGCTCGGTTCACGTACGGTTGACATCAAAAACTAATATATTCTCAGTTTTTGAATATTAAAATTCTGGAGCACAAATTCGCAGACCGTACAGCGTTAAATGCTCCTATTTATTGTTACTTTGATACTCACCACTATATTATTGTAATTGATGAACATAGCAGATGCGATTCGTAGAATTTTACTAATGTTGTGCTTAATGTTTTCGTGCCTCCCAGAGTGTGTGTCGGTGTATAGAAAATACGGGATGGATCGAGAGTGAGCCAAAGGTTGCGTCACTCTAGCGGAGCGTCATATCCATGGTGGCAGGGATCAGTTTTTGAATATTAAAATTCTAGAGCACAAATTCGCAGACCGTACAGTATTAAATGCTCCTAGTTATTGTTACTTTGATGCTCACCACTATATTAATGTAATTGATGAACATAGCAGTGGCAGGGTAGATCGGTAAACCCCACACCCGTTTGTGCAGTATAAAGTTCAGTGGAGGTGCCGAGCGCAGGAGATTCCGCTTAAGTCATTATACCAGTGAAGTTATTCTAAGAAAGCTAAGATAGTGTCGTGGTTCCGTCCGTTGTGTTGGTTCTTCTGGTGGTTACTGAATAGCTGCCTCATGTTTCGTTGAGATGGGTGCTGTTGCTGATGGTTTGTATACTTTGGTATCATGTAATTACGTCCGTCACGTTAAAATGGTGTGTGATTATGTGCTACGGTGTGATTGAACTCTAATTGCAGTAAAGAGTCCATCCGTACAAATTATAGGTGATAATATGCGTAGAACATATTTTGCAGACTTACTTATATTTTTACCTAGAGTCTCAATGTGTGAATTCCAGTTAAATTTTTCATCAGGCCCCATAGTTCTCGGGCTTTCGAATTCAGCAAAGTTGTAGATATTTTATGGCATTATGAATTTATTTTTAACGAGTTTGCGTTGAATGAAATGTATGTATAACCTTTGTTTTGCTTAAATTTATTATTGAATAATTGTGGCCTAGCCATTTTATAATTGTTTTTAAAGAATTGTTTACGTGATATTCGTATGTGTTAATGTTTTCGCAAGGTCTTGTAATGGTGCTATAATCTGCAAAAAGCGTCAAAAGTTGTTATGCGTATTTAGATAGGTACTTAATTTATAATATAAATAGTAAAGGACCCAGTATACTCCCTTGCGGAACTCCAAAGCTGACTTTACTTTCCGGCGATAGAAACATTTCTTCGTATTTATAAACTACATTAATACTCTTAATTTCAGTTATATGTATTCTACTACAAACGTAAGATTCTATAAGGCTAAGTACATTACCCCTGATTACGCTTGTTGTTTATTTAAGAGGGTATACAGGGTACGTTATCAAACGCCTAATTCATGTCACAAAATATGGCACGAACTTGTGTTCTTGTGCCCATATTATTGACAATATTGTGTACAAAGTCTTGTACTGCCATATTAATTGTTTTACGCTATCCTGTTCCTTACACAAATGTTATGTTTTTCTATATATTTATTTTTTTACGATAACCCTAAACCGAAGCGCATGTATGAAGAAAATAATGAAAGTGGACGAAGCGAAACAAGTATGTAAGGATCGTAGCAAGTGGAAAGAAGTGGTCTCTGCCTACCCTACGGGAAAGAGGCGTGATTCTATGTATGTATGTATGTATATATTTATATCATCATCATCATTACAGCCCTTCACGAGCCCATTGCAGAACATAGGCCTTCCCCAAGGAATGCCACAAAGCATGGTCCTGAGCCACCTGCATCCATCGACTTACTGCATGTCTTACCAGGTCTACCAAGTCGTCACTCCATCTAGTGGGGTTCTTCGAGCTATACGTGTGAAGGACCACGCCAAGTTTTGAGGTATACCTGACGAGAAGATGTGCTGTAATTTGTCGAACGCTGCCCAGCCGAGTTGAATCCGTCGATTGACCTCTCGGTCGAAGTTGGACTTACCTAGTCGGACTATTTGTCCCAGGTAAACATACTCGTCAACAACTTCGAGCTTAGTGCTCCCAACAACTACCGGCATAGGTGTGACATGGACATTAAACATGATCTTTGTTTTGTCCATGTTCATCCTAAGACCTATCCTTTGGGAGACACCATTGAGGTCATTGAGCATAGTGTTTAGTATTAAAGCTTTTAAAAAGTTATTTCACAAACATCCGCTATATAAAATAAAATGATGTGTCTTACTTAGTTGCAGAGCACCTCCCGCCCTCCCTTAATTGCGTGCACTATCCTGCGGTGGCTAACCGTCAAGGAACGGTCAGCCACCGCAGAGTCTACATCACCTCGTGTAGAGGCAAAACACGTGTCGTATTGTCGTCAGTGGTGTGTCTTTCCTAGTGTAGTGGTGTTGGAAGTAGTGGTGCTGGGATTAGTGGTGACAGGGATAGTGCACACAATTAAGGGAGGGTGGGAGATGCTCTTCATACTAGGTAAGACACATCATTTTATTTAATATAGCGGATGTTTGCGAAGTAACTTTTTAAAAGCTTTCATCATCATCATCATTACAGCCTTTCATAAGTCCACTGCTGAACATAGGCCTCCCCCAAGGAATGCCACAAAGCACGGTCCTGAGCCACTTGCATCCATCGACTTCCTGCATGTCTTACCAGGTCGTCACTCCATCTCGTGGGGGGTCGCCCTACACTTCGCCTACGGGTACGAGGCTGCCACTCAAGAAACTTTCTTCCCCATCGGTTGTCGGTTCTTCGAGCTATATGGTCGGCCCACTGCCACTTCAGCTTACTAATTAAAAGCTTTAGAATAATGGATTTCCGCAAAGTAACGCCTGACTCTATTAATTACATAGTGCTTAGGTCTTCCAGCGATTCTGCCTTAAAAAAATCGAAAGTATGTGATGTACTCGCCGTTGATGTTAATACGAGTACCGTACCCTTTCCGGTCCAGAAGATTGGAAATATCTTCCAGTACAGCGGTGAAGAGTTTCAGGGATATAACGTCACCGTGTCTTACACCTCTATGCAGTTGGATAAGTTTCGTACTCTGGTTCTGTATTCGGATAGCCATCGTAGCCCTACTGTACAAACATTTCAATACATCGATATACCGAAAGTCAACTTGGCGCCGCTCAAGGAACTGCAGCACCGCCCAAATTTCGACGGAATCAAAAGGTTTCTCACAGTCCACATACGCCGCAAATCGTACTCCTCGAACTTCTGTGCTATTTGCCGAAGGATATGTATGCGGTCTATGCTGCAAAAGCCTTTTCAGAAACCGACTTGTTCGGGAAGCTGGAAGTTGACGAGTCAGCATGCGAGACGATTCATAATGACTCTCGAAAACAGCACGTAGACGCGGTTCAGAAGGGAAATCAGTCTGTAGTTCTTCAAGAAAGCGTTGTCGCCTTTCTAGAAGAACAATACCACCGCACTGCTGCTCCACGCCTCCGGAGTAGTGCCACCATGGAGAATGAAATTAAAGAACTTCTGAAGGACATCAAGTACCGGTTTTCCACCTGCTTTCAGAAGCTCCGCTGTAATTCCATCCTCGCCTGGGGCCTTGCCGTTTTTAAGGTGCTGGAGAGCCATTCTAATCTCGCTCAGACTGACGTCCGGGATATCTTCAGAATAGTGTCGGTTAAGACTCGCTCTTGGATCGTTACTCACACATGCGCGTAGCTCCAACGATGATGTGTACTGCTGCCCATAGAACCTCTCAATCTCACTCAAAATCTCAGGTGTCCCTGAAACGACGCCGCCACATTCAGTCTTCAGCTTTGAGGGTTGGCTCTTTCTGGCAGACAGATCTCTAGCAAAGATTTTGGTGCCCTGGTTCCACTCGATCGTTTCTTCCATACAAGCAGTATTAAAGTTGCACAAGTCCCGCCGCATGCATTTTGGAGATCTGTCTATTCAATTGCCTGTATGCTGTCAAAGCCCCGACCGCATTGACGGTATCAACGAGCTTGTCAGTCATGTCGTCTCGTATGCATTGCAATATTCTAGGCACTGGAAACAGTTTTGGAGCTCGAGCTGAAAGGTTTCGGGACTTTGGATTAGTGCACAAGGGGACGGAGCGTTGACTTCATTAGACGTGACCTCTCCAACTTAACGTTTAGGTTCAGTGTGCCTCTCACCATTTGGCGATTGCTGCAGGTTTTCACCCTCGCGATCATTGAAACGTCACTGAACAGTTGTCGTCTGATCGTCATAATGAAGTCAATCTCATTTTTTGTCGAACCGTCGGGGTACGGCAAAAAATGGAAGAAAGAGTTCATCATAAAGAGTCCCTCTTTCTCCATGAAGTCGGCCAGCTGCTGGCCCCTTGAGTTCCTTTGCCCAATTCCAAATTTCCATACCTTCAGCTCACCGTTCTCTCTTGTGCCTGTTTTTGTGTTAAAGTCTCCCATTAACACCGTATAGTGGGTTTTGGAGGAATGCATAGCTCTAGATATACAGTTCATACATTTCCTCTACCTCCTCATCGGGATGTGCCGAGGTTGGTGCGTAAACCTGTATGACCTTCAACGAATACCGTTTGGTGTTTCTGAGTATAAGATTTGGATGTAAGGCAATCCTTGTCGACACAGTCCCAATCTTTACAATGTTACTAACGAGAGACTTGTGGACGATAAATCCAACACCTCCTTGGGACAGATGGTCGCCCTCCCGGTGGTGGAACAAGTTGCCGGATTCAAGGATCACCATGTCTTCCCCCTCTCTTCGGATGTCTAACAGTGGTAGAGCCACACGGCAGCTTTTGCTGTCGCACGGATGGGCCGGCTCGAACCGGGGTGGTACCACGATCTCACAGAAAACCAGCGTGAAGTAGAGGTTTACCTCTGCGTTTCGCTTGGTGAGTGCAGATGGCCGGAGGCCCTTTTTACTGGAAATGAGGCATTCCATCTTAGTCATCACGGGTGACAACGCATCTACATTTTGATTTGTAAGAGAGGATGTATGTAGATGTCTATGGGCCGCAGAAACCACTTACTATCAGGTGGACTGTGTGCTCGTGTGTCACCCTTGTCTTATAAAAAAATAAAGTCAGATAAGCCTATAATATTTCAGCGCAAGTTGTCTATCTCTTCTCAGGGTGCGTGCGTTATATGTTGCCAGGTGGAGTCGTCGTAGGTGGCAACCGAACCTCTACCGGAGATCCTTAGCATCCACTGCCCTCCCGTTACCATGGTCGCCACCGTAGCCAGGAATAGCGTGGCCGCCAGGGACTGGAGACCGCCTTTTGGTAACTTTTATCATGGGGGTATATTGCCATAGTTGCCACGCTTAGTGAGCGAGTTGGCAACCGCAGTTTTTACTGTTACCAAAAAGATGCTGCTGCCCATCTTCTGCCTCAATTTCCCTCTGTCGCCTCTTACAACACCCAAAGGAAGATATGGGGTAGTAGGTATTCTTACCAGCCACTACACGAGGCGTAATATTTATATAATTTATGGTAAATGTACTTTTCAATTATTTTGGAAATTATGGGATAAAGTATCGGAGTGAGGTCTATAGTTAAAGTTGCTGTGTTTCGTATGGTGTGTAAAGAACCGGAGACCCTTTTTACTGGAAACGAGGCTTTCATTTCAGTGCTCAGGGGTGACAACACATTTGCATTTTGATTTTTAATCAAGGATAAATGTAGATGTCTATGGGCCAAAACATCCACTTGTTATCAGATGGAATGTGTGCTTGTTCATACCTTATCTATACAAATAAATAAAATTGAAGTGTCTGTTTGTTATGTCAAAATAACAGCTTTTTACCAAATGCATATGAAAGTTTATACGGTACTTATAAACAAACACACAATTTTTAAAATTTTTGTCTGTTTGATCCGGCTAATCTCCGAAACGGCTGGACCAATTTCAACGGAACTTTCACTGGCAAATAGCTGATGTTATAAGGAGTAACTTAGGCAACTTATATTTTAGAAAAATAATTAAGTTCCGCGCAACATAATTAAAACCCTATATTATACGCGGGCGAAGTCGCGGGGAACAGCTAGTTCTATATAAAAAATATCATATATGGTTACTGAAACTCGATCGAGAGAATATAATTATTGTGAGAGTAGGCATGTGTTAAGCTTTGGGACAAAAATTGTTACTTTTGTGCCATCTGTTCAGAATATTCTTTGCCAATTTAACCCATACCGGCAGATTACAACTAGGTCACTGTGATCGTACGCCTACGTCAATAAATGATCAGCTGAGCTGTCATCCTCATTGGCCCACTTGGACGCGGGCGCAGGAAGAAAAATTCTTTTCACGCTCTCCACTATCACGCAACCAACTAATTCAGCTGGACTACTTCGAAATATCCGACATGTTTTAAATTGTCGGGATGATATAAATAGCTGTTTAAATTAATCCAACGTTCCAATAGATCTGCTATCGCTGTAATGGCGGCGCAAACGAATTGAATTATTGCGATGAATGTGTTTGAGAGATGGAGTGGGTATATTTTTATTTCGAAATTCACTCGGTCATAAACAAGGGATCGTATTTGTGAGCTTGGTGTTCTGTATTGTGAAACTTGAAGTCACGTTGCAAACTTTGAAGAGGATTATGCTTAGCTTTCAATTAAAAAAATCGAGGTTTAGCTGTGTCGTGGACATGTTCGTCTGTTTTTACGTGAATACGACCCCCCCCCTCCTCCGCCGCGCGCGATGTTTCACAGATATCACAGTCCACACTCAACATAATTAGCTATCGAGTGGTGTAATCAAATGGATGTATAAATATATATACACACACACATATATATAGCTGCAACAACAAACTGCATCCCCCGATATTTTCATCATCAGTTTTCTGAATGGCCTTACACTATTAAAGCAAATTTAATGACGTATTCACGTCAAAATAATTCTATAAAAAGTGGGTAATATCCAACGATGATATCCGCAGAAGAACAGTAATAACTAATATAACCCTGTGGATAGATAGGCTGAAGTGGCAGTGGAATGACCATATTGCTCGAGGAACCTACAACCGATTGGTAAGAAAGATTCGCGGTTGACAGCCTCATATTGGAAAGCACAGTGTTGGAAGATTGATCAATAGATGTGTCGCGACGATCTGATGAAACTTTCAGACTAGTAATGGGTCGCAACGTATGACACTTTGATAATGATGACTTCTTCTTTAACCATTTTTAAAAATAAAATTTAAAATTATTTTTCTAGCAAAATTAAAATCACCTCATGAGTTGTACTTTTTTTTTCAAAAACACAATTTTTAAAAAAATCAACACATATGGATTGCAAATAAATAACTTCTTTTTTAACAATTTGAAGTCGGTTTTTACTTTTTGTTGAAAGTTATAATTATAATTTAACGTGTTAAGTTAGCCTTTAAGTATGTTATGTACTAAATAAATTCTTTAAATTCTTTATTTGCCACAAATCTTTTAACAATTTAAATGGAACCCTGGTTTCTAAACTAGCTGCAATAACTGTATCTTAGAACGCTAATTTCGTACGAAACTAGTAACAGGCTGTGCACATTTTATTCGTTCCATAAACGAACAGTAGAGGTAAAAACCTCTTTGATTGTTGTATAATGGTAATAATGTAACTTATGCTTAAAAGTTGCCATGAATGTACCAGTATTGTTTAATTTTAGCACTCAACGCTCAACAAAGTATATTGTGTCCATTCATTCCACAATTTGAAATACCGGAGACCCTTTTTACTGGATACTAGGTATTCCATCTTAGTCCTCACGGATGACAACGCATCTTCATTTTAATTCGTAATCGAAGATAGATGTAGATGTCTATGAGTTACAACATCCACTTACCATCAGGTGGGTGGTGTGCTTGCTTATCACCCTTATTCTAAAAACAAAAACCATATTTAAAAGTTTACAGTTCACTAATTAAGTAATATATTTAATATATATAAAACATTTAAAAATAATAAAAGTGTTTAAGTGCGTTTCATTCATACCAGCGACCCACACATACCATCGCTAAGTACAGCCTTTATTTGATTCCTGAGAGGTTCTGGAGCAATCAAATTATCAACGTGGTAGAGCCATGCTGCAGCTATATTATGGTTGTAGCACGAATGGGTCGGCTCGAACGGGGAAGGACCACGCTCTCACAGAAAACCAGCGTAAAATAGCAGCTTAACGCTGTTGTGTTTCGTATGGTGAGTGTAGAAAACCGGAGACCCATTTTACTGGAAACGAGGCATTGTATCTTCGCCCTCAGGGGTGACAGCGCATGTGCATTTTGATTTTTAATCGAGGATAAAAGTAGATGTCTAAATGAGCTCACAGTCTAACTGATAGTAAGTGGATGCTGCGGCCCATAGACATCTACATCTATCTTCGATTACGAATCAAAATGCAGATGCGTTTCAGCCGTGAGAACTAAGATGGAATGCGTCGGTTCCAGTAAAAAAGGTATCCGGTTCTCTTTAGTCACCATGTGAAACACAACGGCTAAAAGCTGCTATTTTATGCTGGTATTCTGTGAGAGCGTGGTCCTTCCCCAGTCGAGCCGACCCATTTGTGCTACAACTATACCAGTAAGCTGCAGCACGGCTCTACCACGATTATCTCTTTCATATTAAGTCATAAAGCAACTGCAACATGGCTCTATATCTAATAAGTTGCTCCAAAACTCTCATAAGAATGAGACAAAGCCTGCACTTAGCAGTGATGTGTGTGGGCGGGGCGCTGGGATGAATATAACCCACGTAAATACATTTTAATTTGTGGACAGGTTTTTAAAGGGTGTCTCTATTTCTATCTTATTTCTGGTATATCCCAAATTTTCCTCTTACAATGCCCAGGATGCAATAGGAGTGATGGTTTCTGCTGCCCCGGTACAAAATAACACGGAGCATGCGCTATAAATAATATTCATAATTTTGTGTACAGGAAGACGTAAAAATAATTGCTTGGACATGATTTCCATTAAATTGTTTACATAACAATAATAATTTAAATATACTATTTCTACATCAGAGATGTTCGCAAATAAATTGATACAAAAGAAAGCAAACACGGAAACAAGATGCCGTGGTTATGACGCAAAGGGAACCAAATTCCAATATTCGTGACGCGTCGTCACCAGGAATTGACCGTGAACGTGTATGCTGCAAGCATTGAGCAAACATTTGATCTAATGTTTGACAATGTTCCACAATTATAGGTGCAAATAACGACACTTGAATATGGAATAAACAAGGCTATTAAAAATAAAGATCTCCTACAAATGACATTTATTTACGACTTATAACTAGTAAACATGTTATGATGCATATTATGCATATTGATTAACTATATATATACAGTACGTTTTACGTGGTAGAGCCATACTGCAGCTATATTACGGTTGTAGGACGAATATTATGGCTCTACCGGGGTAGGAACACGCTCTCACAAAACCAGTGTGAACATAAA